CCCCAAAACCCCAAAACCCCAAAACCCCTTAAATGCCCACCTGTATGAAACTTTTTATATTTTATTTTAGGAATAAATGGCAACTATAGTACCTATAAACGTCGACCTGAATAAGCTATTTGAAGCAAAGCTAACTTACGGATTTGATCCTCTGAAAGAAGCAATTGAGGTATGATGATTAATCCGCCTCTTAATTTGCTGATACTCTAATAGTTACATCCCTCCCACATTTAATAAAATATGAATTTTCTGTAAAGCTGATATTTGATCCCAAAAATAAAATTTTATAGGGTTTGCTTAGAAATCAAGAATTGCATAATAAAATGATCCAGGATCTTGTTGAGGAGCAAAAGGAAAATTCATTGTAAGCTAACTTTTGCTGTCTCGGCTGAACCAATATAGAACTAAAAATCAGAACAAAGATCTTTTAGAGAAGCTAAATTCTCAAAATGATAAAATTGAAAATCTGGAGAACAACTTGAAAGACCATGAAGACCGTATCAAACAATGTAAAATTTGATTCCTAATAAATATAGTGGAGGATAAATCAGATGACCACGAAAATCGTATTAAGGAGCTTGAAGAGAAGCTTGAAAATAGCAAGACTCACTATGATTACTCACAGACTGTTGTAAACAACGGTAAACAGAGACCAGTAGGCGAAGAACTCGAAAATGAACTTAAACATTTACTCTCAAGAGTAGACAATACTGAGAAGAATTTAGAAAAATTGCTCAAAAAGAAGAGTGATTTTAACTCTACGGTTCCAACTTCAGAAACCATAGACAATGATGATGAGGAAGACACTCGTGAGTCACTCGAAAACCAACTGCAGCTTATCAAGACAAGACTCTCAAGGGTTGAAGATTCCAATAGTAAGCCTTCTTTATGAAAGTTTCATATAATCTTCAATAGATGAGCTCAAAAATACTATCAAAAATTCCTCTGATGAAAAAGAGGACGGAGATGAATCAGTAGACAAAAGCTACGCAGATGAAGTAGACAAGAATATTCAAGAGCTTAGACAGAAGATTAAAGAGATTGAAGAGAAGCTTAAGAAGTTGAGGGAAAGCAATAGGCCTAGCAAAATGACCTCTTCTTCAGACACTAAAGGAAGCGATTATACTAATGTCATCATTGACCTTAGTGAAAGAGTAGAAGCTCTTGAGCAATCAAATGAGAAGACTATTGAAAGAGTTGATGACCATAACGAGAGGATTGAAAAGCTTGAGAAGGAAACAGACAGCAACAAAGACAAGATCATGAATAATAAAAATGACATTAATGAGCTGAAAGATACGATTGTTGATAAAGTTGATGCAGACTTGTTTGATAATGAGATATCTTATCTCAAAGAACTATTGAACCAAATTGGATCTTCTTCTGGTGAGAAAATTGAAATTCCTCAGCTTCCTCCTCCTAAAGCAGGACTCAGTACTAAGGATGCAAATAAATTGAAAGAGTTGGCTGCTAAAGTACCTGAATTAGAGAGACTTATCAATGACATTCTTGAAAGACTTGGAAGAGCTGAAAATAATATTGAGAATCATGATAAGAATATAAAAGGACATGACAAATCAATCGAAGAAATATGGGCAGAATTAGCTAAAAAGGCAAATACAAATGATTTAAAGGACTTGTTTGATAGGCTGAACCAATTAGAGAACGATCTTGAGAAATTAGTTGAATATATGAACAACAATGATAAAGGAAAGCCAACTGCACTTCCAACAATGGGCAAATCTGATGATAAGAGACTGAAGAATTTAGAAGAAAAAGTTGAAGATCTGAGAAACCACTGTAATCAAAGTTTAAGAGATATTGAAAAGACACTTGAGGCTCTCAATAGTGAATTGAAGGGAACTAACAAAGATGTTAGTGACTTGAAGGATGACTTATTAAAACTTATGCAGAAAATAAACAAACTTGAGCATAAGGTTAATGCTTTGGCTGACCAAAAGCAAAATAGTGACACCCCTGTAGCTGTTCAGACAGGAGCTGATGCTGACAAGCTTGAAGATCTCAGAAAACAACTCAATGAACTCAGGAACGATTACAGAAACTTCAAGAATGAAGTATTAAATCAATTCAACAATGTCAATAATGAGTTAGATAGGAAAGCAAACCTTGAGGACTTAGAGAACTTAAAGAAACTATTGAAAAATAAATTAGAAGATTTAGAGAAAGCTCTAAATAAGACAAAGAATGATTTAAAGAGAGCACTTAGAATTCTGAACGATAAGGTAGGATAAAGGCTTTAAAGTGTAGATCGCCAGAGGGGCAGAAGCAAGTCAACCTAAAGAGGATAGAGATGATGCTATGTTCTCAAAGAAGCCTCTCCAAGGAGTCAGCTGTGCTTCTTGTGATAAGAACGTAGTGAACCTTCAAGGCCTTCCAGCTGATTTCTACAACTGGAAGAAACTTCCTCAATCAAAAGATAGAATTCCGATGGTATGCTTAGTTCTGATTCGATAGATGGGACAAGGATTCTCAAGAATGCTCCAATCCATCAGTAATGAGTACCTTGCACCAAGCCACTCTCCTGTAAAGACATCTTACAATGGATTTAAAGAGGACTCAGTAGCCTCAGGAAGATCAAATCTAAAGAGAAGACCAGGAAGCGGATCTGGAGGAGGTACCTTTAATTTATATTTTTTAGCAAATATGCAAGTTGATGATATCGAGACTGAAGCAGCCAGCAAGATGCTACCAAGCATTAACCAAGGTACTTTATTAAAATAATATTTAGGTAAAAACTAAGTCATAAATCAACTTATTGGCATTAGTACGGGGTTTTGGGGTTTTGGGGTTTTGGGGTTTTGGGGTTTTGGGGTTTTGGGGTTTTGGGG